ACTTCAAACCCATGACTTCTGGAGTAAAGAGACAAATGGAACAGAGTGAATAAAAGTGTTCAGTAATCAGCTAACAACTGAAACTTACCAGGACCCTTCTTTTTGAAAAACAATGAAATGGCATAATAAACATTTCCCAAATTTCTTCTAACTAAGGAAACTAATACACAAAAGATACATTTTGTGTTCATTCAGTTACAATGCACTGAAAGTTTACTATGTGCTAGATGTACAAAATTATTTAGTACATGAACTCCAAAAGTGCCTGTGGTTTTTGGGGTTTTTTTAAATATTTCTGTTTATCACAAGAGAAACTTAGCCCAGCAGACATGTCTATTTTTTTGTATGGTTCTCCTTTAAAAAACAGTTTTTATCTGCACTCTCACAAAATGGAAATTATCTCGAAATTGTTTGAAAGGCTCAACTCCCTTCTGTTTTCTGCTTATTAATTTCTTCTCACTGGATGGTATGTTGCTTCTATCCCTGATCCTTTGCTTCTCACCACAGCTGCATCTCCACCACCTGCACCCGCCAGGCTCAGACTAAAAGCTACACTTGGACATAAACTGGACCTATTCAAAAACTCGCTCACTGAGAAAGGAATTTTTCTTGAATGGGGAGTGACGACCCATTCGGTCTCGCCACACTCTGCCAGGGGCTCTCACTGCCCATTTTCCCTGACCATTTTTCCTGAGTGGCACTATTCTTCCTGGCCAGACCTTGATCTATTCAATTTATCCACGCCCTGTTTTGTAGTCCCCTCTAGACTGTTCTTGTCTAGAGGTTGCAACCCTACCCCCGTGTCCCAGGTCTTCTCTGGGCATGGTCTATTCCTGTTGTATCTCATAACCCATCCCTAGTGTAAAAATAAAAACTCCTTTGTAAATGTAATTGCAGATTCTATACTAGTAAGTATCTTTGTTAGACATAATAATTAGTTCAATAAATATTCCACCTTCTTCCTTGCTTTGGCTTTTTCAAATAAAATTGTGTTTTCTCATATAACAACTAATATGGGATCGTAAATTTTACCAAAGTACAAATTCATGCACAATGTGTTTGGGATTTTTTTTAATTCTATAATTTTGTAGTTTATGTGGATGAACACATTTTAATCTATTTGTTTTTATGTAACCTTTTCAAAAGTTTACTTCTTTATACATTCAGTAGTCTTCACAAGATTAATAGAATTTGTTTTCCTATTTTAGGAAATTATTATCATTGTTTGGACAATTGGTTTCCTTCTCAATTCTTTTGGGTACTTGGAAGTGGGTTGTTTAGTCCTCTTTAATGGTAGTTTTATTGTTGTTGATCATCTTAAAGAAAAAAGTTGGAATTTACATATCTTGATGAATTGTAAACTATCTTTCACACACTTCCTTTTTTCTATGCCTTTCTCTCTTCTTTTGTTACAAACGGCATAAGAACTCTTCCTTACCAAATCAGTCATAAATCAGTTAAGACAGGACTAATCTATTTGAGCAGATATTAAAACATAGTTTTCAGGAAAAAAATGTGCTTGTTTGTTCTACTGGAATATAGCATCACTTTTTAAAAGCATTCCTCATGGTTACTCTCATATTGCTACTTTTCTGGCAATATCTAAAAATGAGTTTCACAAATCCGTTCTCCAAGTCCCCAGAGCAGCAGCAGCAACATATCCTAGAAATAAGTAGAAATGTGAATTACTGGGCTCCAACCCAGACTTACAGTACCAGAAATAATAAGGGTAGAAAGGGCCCGACAATGTGTGTTTAAACAGCCTTCTAGGTAATTTCAGTGCACACTAAAGTCTGAAAACAAGCACTTCAGGCAATAAAAACTAAATGTAGGCTATTGAATTTTGAAAGTGACATGATTGGAGAGTGATTTAAAATGCCTCCCTGACAAAATTGTTTCACAAAAGTAAATATTTTTAAAAATTATTTTAGAGGAACTAATTTTAACCATTCAATATTGAAATGGTCTTTCCAATGAAAACCTTAACAAGTTTTAGTAAAACAACATGTTTTATGTTACTAAGGGCATAATATAATTTAGTCATAGCAAAGGCAAAAAGCTGTCTTCCTCCTTAAAAGGGAATTCAGTGGAGTGTAGATAGTTAGGTAGGTAACTTAATATGCCTTGTTTTCTGGTGGATTAAATTAGTTTACTTTTCAATTGCATCTGAAATCCTTGAAAATTAGTCATTAGGGGAGAATAGACTTTGAACATTCGAAAACTGAAAATACCATTTCTTGGGAAAATTTCTTTTGAAAGTGGCAAGAAATAGCATGAAAAGGAAGATTGGAAAGCTCTAGATCATAACAAGAAGATGTTAATTGAGTTTCTAGGTTAAAAAGTGTGTGAAGACAGGAAAAGGAGAAAACAGGAGAAAGGGAAGGGACACAACAGGCAAATTGCACCTGCCTGGTGTTTCCCAGAACTGGCCCTGGAAGAAATCCTTCAGGGCAAGTTATTCAATCACTTTATTTGTTTGTAAACGTGCCTCGATGATTTTGATATCTAAAGCCATCTATCATGTGAATCTTATTATATTCACTTATTCAATATTTTCCAGCTTTTTCCAGTATCTAGTGTGATATTTCTACTTTTCCCCAGTTTATTATTAGTAGGTTTTATCTGCTAACATTTAAGTGCACAGACATTTCAGTGATAAGGTAATGATTCTTCTTGGTTCCTTGTTGTAAATATTTCTTGTGCCATCCATATGAAAGACATTCCATGTCAAGATTACCTTCTACATGTATTTTTTTAAAAATATCAAACTATTGATGTGCATATCAAGGGTCAATATAGCCATAAGCAATGGAAATATTGTTTGTTTGAGTTCTATTTTTATTTATACATATTTATGGTTACAGAGTTGACTGTCAGTATTTTTGTGCAGTATGTGATGATCAAATCAATATCATTAGCACGTTCATCATTACAAATCGTAATTATTTTTTGTGTTCTTACCCAATTACTCCCTATCCCTGTTTCCCACCTCTAGTCATTATAAGTCTGTTTTCTCCTTCTGAAAGTTCAAAGTTTAGCAATAGCAATATTGGTTGATAATATTTCCTTCAATATTTTGGAAGTATTTGGCAATGATTCTTTGATTGCTATCTTCAGACTCAGGAATTGATGGAAAGGAAAGCATATAGAGGAATGTTTTCCTTTCCACTTTTATAACCATATTTTCCCTGTGCACAACAGATGCCACTTTGGCATAACGTAATTAATTCCAAATGTAGAAGCCTAACTTCATCAAAAGGGTCTTGACCAAAGAAAAGAAGATTGATGTCTAGGCATTATCTATTTTCCTGAGTCAACCCATTGGGTGCAGGTTTCATTTATATTCTTATATGAGATCATGCCCTTTTGATTTACTACTTCTAATCCCATTGAAGTGGGAATTATAGTGGAAATGTGAATGATGAATCTAATGCTCAATGTTAACACTTTACTTGGTTACATGCAGGAATTTTAAGATATATGGAATGTGTATATATTTGGGCTTTTTTATTACAGATATTTAATGGGCAATGTCATTTCTTCGTTTTTCAGCTATAGAATTGATATCAATTTGTCATTTTTTAGGAAATGAATATGAAATTCATATACATATTAGTTTCATGGGTCAATAATCTAAGTAAAAATTAAATCATCAGATTAACTTTTGTCTAAAAATATCCCAGACCCATGAGTATAAATATTTTTCATACGGCTACTAAATTTTAAGCTATCATACTTAAGTTAATCTAACCCATTTGGAGTCTGCATATAGTTTTTGGCATCAGAGAATTCTTACTGGATAAAATACCTGCCGGAGAAAAGATTCTTTCTATTATGCAGACAATTCTAGCTCAGTACTGGCAAACATTAAGTACTTAAGATTGTGGCATTATGATGGGTGATAGCACATTCCTAAACATATCTATTCTCTTCCAACTGCAGCTGCATTGTTATATCCTATTAAAATGATTAATTCAACAACACTGCCTTTAAAGCACTTTTTAGACTTAAATTCTAACTCACAGATATATATCTAAAAATAATCCTCAAATTTTTTATCATGAATCATTATTTTTTCATAATTCCTTAATTCTTGCATCCCATATTCATCATGATATATATTTATTTCATTCATACAGTTAACCAATATTTATCAATCACTTACTATAAACCGAAGATATGGTGTTAAGAACGAGGGATATTGTGTAGGGCCCACCAAGTTCTTTATTTCTTGGAACTTACAAACTAAACTTATTTTTCATAATAAAGTGCACTTAATTCATTTATATGTGAATCAAGGGCTGCAGAATTTTTCAATAGGCTTTGAGATACACAAAAAGTTACAAAGCAAGGTTTGAAATCATTGCCTAATAATCATATTTCAACCAAAGAATATCCAGGAATGAAAGAAGTGATGTGTTTTTATTTTGTTTATCAAAGCAATGCTTTAAGTTCTGCGGAAAGAAGTAATGACTATCTGCAATTATCATATGCTAAATTTGATCATGACTACAATTTTTTTTGAGATACAAACTAAAATATTTTTGCAGTGCCTAAGTAGCTAGTGAGTCAGAGTATGCATTAAATACTTCATGCACAAAGGTAAAATTGAGTAAGTGCTTGCTTAAATAGAAATTGTATCTATATCATTCATTTAGATTGTGTGAAAAAGCAGACAGTAAGCATCATTTGGGCAGAGATCCCACTTATCTTTTCTTCTCATTTTTCCATTATGCAATTTAACCATTTATTCCTAACCATAGAGAATGCATGCAATGAAAAGTTGTAGCATGAGTGAGTGAATGAATAAATGAGTAAGAATGCTCTGATTAACTCCTTTTCTCATATACGAAGCAGAAAAAGGTAGTGTTTTGCAATGGATATCGATGTCACCAAGAAAATGCTTTCTGAAGTCTGTAGATACACAAATTAATGCAGTGCTGCCATTAATAGTCACACCTCTTTTTACTTAATTTTCTCCATTCTTTGTCTCTTTGCAGAACGATTTAATGTGTATCTTATGCCTACACCAAATCTGGATATTTATGGTGAATGCACAATGCAGATCACTCACGAGAATATCTATCTCTGGGATATCCACAATGCCAAGGTTAAACTGGTGATGTGGCCTCTAAGCTCACTGAGGAGATATGGTCGGGACTCAACGTGGTTCACGTTTGAGTCAGGAAGGTAAGCACTCACACAGCAGCCGAGTGCAGGATGCCTGTAACTGACTCCTGATGGAAAGGGTCAGCCCACCATTGCCCGGGATGACCCCTGTTTTCGTAAAGGGCAGAAGATACCAAGTACATAATTTCTTCAGATTCTTGTTGATAATATGAATAAAATTGTATTAATTTCATGCCAGGTTAATTATCCATTCAAAACAATTTCAATCTCTTATACTAGAATCAAAGGAGTTTCATAATTACTTTAATACTGCAATACATTTTTCAATATTATTACAATACTATATTTTTGGTGTATCTTCATGCAATAGGATTTTCATAAAATTAAATAAGTCCTTACTTACATTAATTTTGTGAGTTTTTAATAAGCAAACAATATTAAAAGGAGTTTTATATAAAATTATTTAAATACTGCTTTTTTTTTTGCTTGAGTTAATACACTACTCATTCATCCAGATGTTTATGTTAATAACATTAGTTGAGTATAAAATTAATTTGAAATGTCTGAAGAAATGTTGGCAAATTTATAATTTATGTAATGTTGTGAGAGTTTTAAACCTAGTGTTTCCAGGCAAATATCTTATTTTCCTCATCAGAGCATATGGTTGTAATCCATAAATGTCTGAAATGAATGCTTGCTTCACAATCATTCATAGACACATATTTAGACATGACCTACAATCAACCAAGTCAATGTCTTTATGCTATGAGCCTTTTGTGACTTTGTTGTCATGCATCCAAGATAAGACTTAGGTTTAGGAATTCTAATAAGAAAGTGGTGTTTAATGCATCGGTCTTTACGTAGGGAGCATAAGTTATCACATACTTAAAACGAATCTGTAGTCTTATAAGCTAATTATAGTGAGTTTTCATTGCATTTGATGTAACAATTTTAAATTCATAATTTTCTTCTTATAAAACTTTAAATATTTATTCAAAGTCAGATTCTAATAATATCCATCTAGAGTAGGTCTCTTAAAATTAAAAACAAAAAACAACAAAGAAAAACCTAAGCTGGAGTAATATGACCAGTCTAGAGCCATTTTGCACCAAGGTAATATGAAAGTTTCTACCACACTATTTTCTCCAAAGAGCCTTGGATCCTGTGTTTACTTAGTTGCTATGAGCTCATTTAACTGTCTGTTTCAGTCGGCCTAGATATTGAGCATAATAATAATCACATTCTGGATAACTACTGGAAAATAAAAATTCTTCTATGAGAATTAGTATTTTTAGGTATGTACACCATTTAAAAAATTATATGATTATGGAAAAGGAATTATATCATATAGAAATTCTCTGATCTAAAACCTATGATACTTTTTTTTTTTTTTTTTTTTTACTGGCCTTAAAAGTCAGCATATAAATCAACTGGATGTTTTTATTCTTTTTTGTTGTTTTTTCATCACTGAACAACATTACCTCTAGGCTCCACTCCCCTTGTTCTTTCTCCCAGGTACACCTATTTTTCTTTTCTTATGCAGAACAATTTGACTGTCTTGTGTGCTCCATCATTTTAATAGGCTTGTATGTTAAATAACAAGTAGTTTTCTTTCTTATACCGTGGTTATTCAGAATTTTCACTCCATTTATACCTGTCCACATTAACGTTTTTTTTAATTTCTTGTACCTTCAGTCTTTGAGGGGAATGAATTTGCTCTCCACGGGTTTTAAAATTGTTATTCTCATCCAAAACACCAAACTAATTGATATACAACTTGGCTTATCTGACAATCAACATGAACTGGTCTTCTGTGTTCTTGATTATTTTTAATAACTTTAAGATACATGAAAAATATAAATATATTTGAATAGATAAGGTCCATAATCATCAAAGTTTTTTGTTTGTTTTTTGTTTTTATTTTGCTTGTTTTGTTGCTTAGTAGATAATTTTTCTTTTCTTTTTTGGGGGAGTGGGGGCTTGCCAGAAAAACTTCTTAATTTTTTTTTGTTGTTGAAGTGTAATTGATTATACATATTTTTGGGGTAGTGTTGACTATCATTATTTGTGTACAATATGAGATGATCAAATCAATATTAACATATTCATTATTACAAATCATAACTATTCCTTGTGTTCCTTACTTGATTTCTCCCTAAAAAGGAAATATCTTAATATATAAAAATCATTTTGATACCCACACTCTTATATGCCCTAAGAATCAGAGATAGTTAGGTTTAGATTGCAGCTCTATCACTTAACAATTTAACCTGAGCCATTTGACCCCTCTGGCTTTCTGTTTTCCTCTTGTATTAGGAGAATTATAACCTGTACTTTCCAGCAATGTTTGGAGAGGCTGAGCGAGTTAGTGTGTATAAAGCAGCACACATCTCAGTATTTCCACTTAATAGGCATTTTAAAAATCATGATCATCTACTCTTTTTCAGAAATTATATAATTTGCCTGTTTCTAGTTTCTGAATGAAGCTTCTAGTTTGGTCTGAAGAACTCTCTTTTATGTCCTCAGCCAAAACCACAGGAAATGTGGGGAGAGAGAAACCAAGCAAAAAGCTTGAGAGAAGCTTGTATTCACCTGTTGGAGAGATGATTCTAAATTCTACCTCTATAAATAGAAATCAGTGTTACCTGTCATGAACCAAGAATTTGAGGGCAGGTGAAAATGGAACTGGAGCAACAAGACTTTGGAATACAAATGAGGGGAAAGTACTGAATCGCTGTCTTTGTATTAACTGGTGCTTGGGGCATAGCTATGGGATAGTAGGTGCCTATGTCACTCAAAAGTCAATAGGATGTACAAAATGCTCTAGTTTACTAAGGGTGATTCTTTGGAATGAGTTTACACCCCAATGTTACTGTACTTGGGGAAATCAGATTGTAAAGCAACAAAAATCAATCTTGTTACACTTAAAAATATTAAGGGAAAATCTAAACAAATTTATTCTTAAAAGCTGCTATAGCTAAGAAGTGAATTGAATATGGTTGCAGTATATAAGGTTCTTATACAAAAATCAATTTTGTCTTACATGCTAGCAATAAATGGAAGTGAAAATTTTAAAAACACCACTTATAATGGCATCAAAATATGAACTATATATGGGTAGATTGAACAAAATATATGCAAAACCTGTAGATGAAAGGATACAAATATGGTTGATAGTAATTAAGAAAGACCAAAATAAATAGTGATACAGACCAAGTTCATGAACTGAAAAACTCTATATTGTTAAGATGACAATCCTCTCCAAATGGATTTATAGATTCAATGCAATCCCAATAAAATTCCCAACTAGCTTTTCTGAAGTAAATGGAAAGTTGATTCTGAAATGTATTTCCACTTAAGACCTAGAATACCTACAACAATTTTGAAAAGAATGTAGTTGAAGGATTTCCTCTATCTAATTTGTTTTGTTTTTGTTTTTTGACAGTTTTTTTTTATTTAAACATAATTGATTATACGTATGCGTGTGGTACAGATTTGAATACAATATCTGTGTACAATATGTAGTGATCAAATCAGGATAATTAGTATACTCATGTTTACAAAACATAATCAATCTTTGTGACAATCAATTTCTTACTTAATCTTCCTCCCCTCCCCCTTTCCCACCTCTAATAACCACAGTTCTCTTCTCTTTTTTTTTTTTTGAAAGTTCAGTGTAATATTGTAATTGTTGTTTCTTTCTTTCTTTTCTTTTGTTTATTTTTTAAGCTCCCACTTATGAGTGAGGAGATAGTATTTCTCTTTCTGTGCCTGCCTTATTTTACTTAATGTAATTTTCTCTAAGTTTATCCATGTTGCTGTGAATGGCAAAAAAGTGCTTAGAGCTGATAAATGATTTCAGTAAGGTTGCAGGATACAAAATCAACACAGAAAAATCAGTAGCATTTTCATACTTCAATAACCAGCTAACGAAAAAGAAATAAAAAACTAAGCCCATTTAATAGTCACCAAAAAAATAAAATGCTTAGGAATCAATTTGACCAAGGAGATGAAAGATTTCTACAATGAGAACTACAAGTCACTGCTGACAGAAATTAAAGAGGATACAAAAAGATGAAAAGG